ACTCTCTAGGAGTCATCTTTAACCTTGAATGCTATTAATAGATTCTACAGCAATAGTCCCTCGGACTCGGAAAGTAATAACGAAAATAGCTAACCCAATAGCAGATTCCGCAGCTGCCACCGTTGGAACCAATGAAGCAAATGATTGACCCATCATATCATCCGAAGAAACAGAAAATACCAAAAAGTTCGAATTCACAGCTAATAACATTGATTCAATTGGCATTGACATAATAGGAATATTTCGTCTATTAAGGAGGATTCCCCGAATACCTGAAATAGAGATAATCATAGAAAATGTGAAATATTTGATAGGATCCATTTCGGGAACGTAGAATGTAAGAGAAATTCAAATGTGAAACAATAGGTGAGCTCTTCTACTTGAAATATCCATTAATTATGGATATGGAAGAAATATTCTTTTTCATTTTTTTAGTAACAAAATAAAAGAAAAGTAGGACCAAACTGAGAGTTAGTAGCATAAAAAAAGATGGATTTGTGAATGAAAAATAGAAGTTTCCAATAGGAAAATCCATCAATGGCACAATCTCAAATTGTTCAGGTGGGCCACTTATTTCTAATTGTGAAAATGGGCCACTTATTTCTAATTGTTCAGGTGGGCTGGAGACGAGATCTTTCACTAGATCCACTTGTTCAGGTGGGCCACTTAGATCTAATTGTTCAGTTTGGTCACTTATTTCTAATTGTTCAGTTTGGTCGGGGTCGTCTGTACGCGCGTCTTTCTTTGGCTTTTTAAAGATATCCTCCGCCCGTCCCCCTATACTGTAATAATATTTCAATGCGCGTAGTATATAGTCGCTCTCCCTCTCGTAACGGCCTCGTACAGGGAAACCTCTTTTGGCAGTCTCGATAACAATAGGCTCTCCTAATTTCTCCTCTATCTTCTCGATAACTGGGCGAGGTTTAAGGACTGGAAAGCCCTTGGTCCCACAACTCTCAATAAAAGTCGTGTAGTTAAAAGGTTCGGTCGATTGAGAAGGACTGGCGGCGAAATCTTCATAAATAGTAGACAGTCTTCCTTTAAAAATAGAAGAGAAGGGTCTTTTACTTTTATTGGGCATTCTTGATTGATTGAGACAAAAAGATTCCCTCAATACAGCTTCACTCCGTCAAACCTGTACGAGTAGTGAAGAGGTATAGATTTAGTTGGTTGTTGACCAACGGAAAGCATGGGATCAAAAAAGGCAGAATTTACGCAATTTCTTTTCTTTTTTAAATCTCTTTCTTTTTTTTCCCCAACGACAAAGGAACTTACGGGCGGGGCATTTTCGGGGGCTAGCCCGCTTCCCACCATTACTCAATAGGGCAATTCCTCGCACATAATTAAGGGAGCCATTGAAAGGTGACTAAAACACCAGAAACGGGGACTACCCGAGCTAATGATAGAGGCAAGAACACTTTCCGGCCAAGTCCCATTAATTGATCATAACGATATCGTGGAAATGCTGCACGGACCCATATATATAGGAACAGAAAAAGAATCACCTTGATACTAAACCAGATCGAGCCCGGGATCTTCTTGGAAATGGGAAGATCTAGGATAGGCGGCCAACCTCCTGGAGAGAGCGATGTGCATAGACCAGGTGAGTAGGGATGCAGCTCCGTGGACCGCTCGTCGGGCCTGATAGGTGGTGGTATCACACCCTTCTCAAAGGAACCGTACGTGACACTCTCGCGTCATACGGCTCCGTCCCGGAAGCAGGACCTTCCCTTTCCTTTGACCAACGGGCCCCCAAACCTTTCTTATTTCGTGCCGAACCGGGTCTCCATCTTCGAACTTCCCGTTCGATGAGACCCCACCCCAGGTCTCGCTGTTTCCGTTTTCTAGGTCACGCCTTAACCTCGTTAGAAAGCGGAGTTGGCTAGCTGCCGGCATATCTTTTACGTTACCGGCCACATAGTCCGCAGCGTCTTTCACTGCATCGCATTTGCCGGGGCTGAATCCCCTTTCTTGAGCGATCGCCTTCGCTCGTTGGCAGAACGCCTTGATGCGTGCGTCTAGTTTGTTGGGGTGACACTCCGCCTCTTTATACTCTTAGGAGGCGAGAAACTCCCGTTCCCTTCTCCTTCCTTACTCTTCCGAGGATGGTTCAGGGGGAGCCGGTTCCGCCTCCGGCTGAGGAGGGAAATTTCAATCGATAGGCGGTAGCTTCGACGAGCTGGGACGTGGAAGTGAAAACCCTAAACTTGAAACCCTACCCTTCTTTGCTACTCACTATCTAAGGGGCAAATCCGAAGTCGGTTCTCAAGGCCCGGAAGCTCGGGGATTGAATACCCCTATGTTCCAAGTGACTAGCTTGGCTGGTGATGCGTTCACCCACTTGCACGCTTCCTTGCAAGCACGAAATCCTTAGTTCGCCCGCTACCACACGGGCCGGTGTACTCTTATCGCTAACCCCGAGAGAGGCTATACTCTAAGAGCCAACCGACTCATTATCCCTGGACGCAAGGATTAAGAAATAGCGATGTATCAGGGGCTGAGCGTACCTTCCGCTCAGGAACAAGAAATGGAGCTATTAAGTTAAGGTGCCGCTTTCCTTTTTCTAGCCCTTCTTTGGGTTCCCTATCGATGCGTGTATGCCTTCGTCGAAGAAAGAGGGGAATCACAAGAAATTTTCATACAACTAGGCCTAATTCCATCGATGAATCATTCGAGAACGAATTTTGCGAGACTAATCTAATCTTATTCAACCTTAGATGGGAATTAGGGCGAAGCCTGGGGCGGTCTCTGCCTTCTTAACACGCGGCACACCAACTTGAAGTCTGATTTGAAAATCTCTCTCTACCTTCACAAAACTTCTCGCGCCCTTCTCGTAGTTTTGACTTGCTCTTAGGTAGGCTACCGTTGACCGGCTTCGCGAGACCATTTCGGTCTACACACACATGGGTGGCTAAGCGCTATTGGGCGGAGCTTTCTCTCAATCCAAGCTAACTAATAGAAGAAAAGAGAAGAAAGGAAGATCTTATAAGGGACTCACCCCATCTTTACATAAGCTATTTCTTGAACGGAAAAAATAGATGCTTTCATGGACTACTTTGACTTTAGGGATTTGCTTCATCATTAGCTAAAGAAGAGAGACAAGGGGGAAGCTCAGTCTAATTGTCCGAAGTGATTCTTTCTTGATTGGATGCCAGCTTTCTCTTAATTCGTGCACTTACATACAAATCTATAGGTAGTTCATCTCCTTCTAAGAAAAATATCCAAAGTTTTCATTTTTGATCGAATTCCGTCTAGTAAGCCTCGAGATCTTACAGATGCTGTTGAGAATCGTCATTAACCAATCATGTATCGGACGCACCATCCCTTGAAGTAAGTAAAGGGCGCAAAGATGCGGATTTGACCCGCACCCCCTTTCTTTTTCTTTTTTCGATTTTTCGTTTTAGAATAGAGAAAGAGTCGAAACTAAGGGTACGCTCTCTAGAAGATTTGCTCGGAGCTTTTTGGTCGCCTGCTATCTTATCTTGAAACCTCTTTGCACAAAAAGAGACTGAGATGACGAAGTGGATGCGCCTTGATTTCCTCCAACTCCTTACTTAATGCCGCAATGGAGTCCTCACCCCTGCCTTTAGAAGAGAAAGCCTTCATACTATATTCGACTTGCATGTGTTAAGCATATAACCTTTCATCACATTCAGTCGACTTTCAATTCAATCTCTGAGGAAGAGAAAGATATAGTTTATATACAGAAGAAACCTAGTTTTGAGTTCTATTAAGGACCCGAAGAAGACAGGAGAACTGGGCATTCACAAGACTGCTTTGATTCTCATCATGATACATTCTTGTAGTAAGCGGGTGGTTGATAAACACGTATTATTGGGGGGGGGCAGCAGGCAATGGATACCGTTCTCGCACCCGAGCCTGCAGTTGGTAGGTCAAATCCCTCTGTCCAAGTGATTGAGTTGAAGCTTTGGGCATAGAGCGGAGCGAGCCCGGGGAGAGGAGTAGAGTCCAGCAACATTGAGCCCCAAAATAGAGTTTCTATTCAAATCCCTACTCAACACGGTGCCTTAAGGAGAATCCGAAGCCGGTTGCTAGCGGAAGTAGCGCGACAAAGAGCAAAGCGGAGCATTCACAAAGAAATGGTGTAAGCAGAAGGGAAGGCGCAACGGTTAGCGACTGCCCGAGGAGTGATCCCTCTCTTATTTTCCCTTTTTTTAAGATAAGAAAAGAGACAATAAGCCCGTCAACATTGAAGCTTCCGCTTTTGGCAGCTGTTAGGCAAGTGATACCGTACGCCGCAAGTCCGCACCTATATAGTGAGGGTGCGTTAAGGCGAGTTGATGAGCTAATACGGCTGGCTTACTTTTCATATGTATGTGGATGTGGAGGGAACCTGGCGTTAAGCACTGGGGCCAGCCACAAAGGAATAGGTTTGAATGTTGATATATACCGTCTTTCAGCTGACCTTTCCAAACCATGCTTCGCAATCAAGCTAGAAAAAGACTAAGCAAGTGCTGTCCTAATGAAATGGCGGATAGTTTAGTATAACATTCATTCCTGACCGCCGCTGCCTGCTTAAGACTAAAAGCTAGTAGTGAGACTTCTATTCTTCCGCCCTATCTAGTAAGAGCCTCTAAAGCTATGTTTGGCGTAATCAATATAATAGTTGGGCTCGGCTTTACTGAAGAAGAAGGGGCGAAGTCTCAACTACCAGACTACTACTATACCAAACGCACTCCACGAGTGGATTAGTTGAGTGACTAGACTGATACTCTAAACGAGACCAATACTATCAAAAAGAAAGTAGCAAAAATCATAAGAGAAGAAAAGCAAGTCAAGCAGTATGCCTGGTTCACCAGGTTCTACCACTGCAGGGCCCAATCATAGTCAAAAGCGGAAAAGAGAGGATTTGCAAGAAAAAGTCGAATAGACTGACCTACGAGCATAAGAAAGAAGAGGAAATCGAATTATGTATGATGAGCTTGAGTCGAGTCACAAAAAGGGCTATGATGAGCTTGAGTCGAGTCACAAAAAAGGGTATGATGAGCTTGAGTCGATTATTTCCAAGATCGAATTCCAGTTTTTTCTTATGTAGTGGAAACGCCCTACAATCTGAAGTTTTACGCTTCAGGCAAGAAATGTTCTTGGTGGATGCAGGACTTGGGACCCCCAGAATTTGTATGCAAGATGAGCTTACAGGGGTGCCAATCAACCGAGCCACCAGGTTTGAGAATAGGGTGGGATTCCTGGATCTAGTGGCCGGTGAATCACTGATCAAAGAGCAGATTTTGGAGAGATTCTTCATCGATCTAGTGGCCGGTGAATCACTGATCAAAGAGCGAGCAGCCGCCAGGTTTAATGATTTGGTGGGATCTACAGATGTAGTGGCTGGTGAACCGCTTCTTCTTCTTCCACGAAGATTCAGACAAAACCGAGCTTGGATGGAACTGAACAAGATTGAGCGAACGAAGGCAAAGATCAAAGGCTTTATTATTGAGAAAGTAAAAGGAGGTTATTCAGTAGCCATCGCAGGTTTCATTACTTTTCTTCCATTCCGCCGCAGAAGGAAAAGGATATTGAATAATCAATTCACCGTTGAAAACATTAACCCCAAAAAGAAGAATATTGTGGTCTTCTAACAAAAAAAGAAGAATATTCTGGTCTTTGAAGGAATGAAAAAAAGGAGAGACTGGTAGAGCTCCTCTTTGTCAGCGGCAGCATTATCCCTTCTATCTATCAACCATTTCATTATGGAACTTTCTCCCCACAACAATCATTTTGAAAATAATGTGCAATTCATAGCCCTCGATGATCGGGCAAATGTTATGGAAAATTTCTGTGATCAAGTATCTAGAAACATGGATGCAACTGGTCTTCAGTTGCCACCAGCATGGACGTCGGTAAGAGAGCTTGCCGAGCATGTCTGGCATGTTAATGATGAAGAACTTGTGACTATTCCTTATGTCATCCATCTCACAAATGAACTGGCCCGTGAGGACTTTCAAAGTGGGTGTGTATGGCAGGAATTTGTTGATGAGTTGGAATTGATTGTCCACAGTCCCACCTGAACAATTTGAGATTGTGCCATTGATGGATTTTCCTATTGGAAACTTCTATTTTTCATTCACAAATCCATCTTTTTTTATGCTACTAACTCTCAGTTTGGTCCTACTTTTCTTTTATTTTGTTACTAAAAAAATGAAAAAGAATAAAGAAAATGGCATGGGTTTGGGAGCCAAGCCGAAGCCTCCACCGCAGCTTCAACTGCAAAAAAAATAATTCGAAAGACCCCGATCCTTATTTTCGTTTTTTCTTTACTCTTTCTCATTATCACAGTAGTTTTGATAAGAAGAAGAAGAAAAAAAAGTCTGATTCTATTTTACATTATGTGTTTCCTCCTTTCCCTTTTTAGTTGCCTTTTGAGATTCTTCATTATGGACTTTTTTTGGCTTTTCTAGCACTCCCCACAGCCTTTATCTTATTTGTATCGTCGAATGAAAGTGATAATTCGACTAGAGAATCAGGAAGTCTTCCCCGCCTGGAATCTGAATCGAGTTCGGAATCACTCTAAACTTTTAGAAACGTTATTGGCGCGGAGAATGAGGCGGAAATATATCGGCGTATAAGACTCTTGGAGAATGGTACGTACTATAATCTACCGCCTCAGAACACTCCGGGAGACTATGCTGCCCTTGTTCGCGAAAATGCGCCACATTTATCTATCTTTATCGCCGAATTGAAATTTTCTTTCTTTGATCAAGAGTATTTCGAACTTCAAGTATTAGAGAGAAAGGGCCTTGTCCAAGACAAACTCCTTAACTTAATGCTTGAAGAAGAGAATCTTTCCTCTATTATTATATTAATGAATCCCCTTACTCAAACATAAGAAAGGAGGCTTATCACTTTCTTGAAGACAAGCTTCAGCCTGTTGGCGATCCACGCCATGCTTTTGAGCGAAATCTTCTTGAGGGGAGTCTTCGCTTTTTTTTTACAGGATTTGGATCAACGGGGTAAAGATTCCAGTGTTTACCAAGATTTTTTGAATTATTTTCTCAATTCTGATTGATTGCCTTTTTTGATCCCATGCTTTCCGTCGGTCAACAACCAACTAAATCTATACCTCTTCACTACTCGTACAGGCTTGACGGAGTGAAGCTGTATTGAGGGAATCTTTTTGTCTCAATCAATCAAGAATGCCTCAACTGGATAAATTCACTTATTTCACACAATTCTTCTGGTCATGCCTTTTCCTCTTTACTTTCTATATTCCTATATGCAATGATGGAGATGGAGTACTTGGGATCAGCAGAATTCTAAAACTACGGAACCAACTGGTTTCACACCGGGAGAACAAGATCCGGAGCAACGACCCCAACAGTTTGGAAGATATCTTGAGAAAAGGTTTTAGCACCGGTGTATCCTATATGTACTCAAGTTTATTCGAAGTATCCCAATGGTGTAACGCCGTCGACTTCTTGGGAAAAAGGAGGAAGATGACTTTAATCTCTTGTTTCGGAGAAATAAGTGGCTCACGAGGAATGGAAAGAAACATATTCTATTTGATCTCTAAGTCTGTACATAGCAATCCTGGGTGGGTCATCACTTGTAGGAATGACATAATGCTAATCCATGTTCCACACGGCCAAGGAAGCATCGGTTTTTAATCTCATTATGACTTGGTTGTTCGGAAGAGCAATTAATTCGATCAGAATAGTGGAATGGAAGGCAGTAAAAGAATGAAATACTCCTTTCTTTTCCAATCGCCCCGCGAAGACAGACGCTCGGAAAGGTTCTCGAGATTCTCAATCGCTCTTTTTAGTGGGGAGGAATAGTGCGGGAAGGGGGCGAGACCAAGCCGAGCCACTAGTAGAGTAAGCCCTTCCCACGTGTCAAGTTGAATATAAATAAATGAATGCAGCCTCAACCAGAGAGATCAACCTGCGCCTTTGAGTTGAGGCCGCTGGCGGCGCAGAACGAACTAATCCGCGACCAGCAAGTTTTCCGAAAGCGAACTGAATGGAATTGTTACTTTCCAAAAATCTTGCTTCAAAGAAATAAGGTCTATTTTCCCACGTAGTTCGTCGGTCAAACCAACGATTCTCTTCTCAAAGTAATAGAGAGAGTCTTTTTCTAGTTAGACTTCTATCAATGGAATGAAAGAACCATCCCTTCCTATTTCTTTGTTTGTCCTGTCAGATAGAAAGAAAATTAGACCCCAAAGAGCCCTTCTTTACTTTACTACTTTAGGGGGTGGGGGTGAAGGGGGGGTTTACATAGAACCGAGGCAAAGTGGTTTATGATTGAATCTCAGAGGCATTCTTATCATTTGGTAGATCCAAGTCCATGGCCTATTTCGGGTTCACTCGGAGCTTTGGCAACAACCGTAGGAGGTGTGATGTACATGCACTCATTTCAAGGGGGTGCAACACTTCTCAGTTTGGGCCTCATATTTCTCCTATATACCATGTTCGTATGGTGGCGCGATGTTCTACGTGAATCCACGTTCGAAGGACATCATACCAAAGTCGTACAATTAGGACCTCGATATGGTTTTATTCTGTTTATCGTATCGGAGGTTATGTTCTTTTTTGCTCTTTTTCGGGCTTCTTCTCATTCTTCTTTGGCACCTACGGTAGAGATCGGAGGTATTTGGCCCCCAAAAGGGATTGCGGTTTTAGATCCTTGGGAAATCCCTTTTCTTAATACCCTTATTCCCCTTTCATCCGGAGCTGCCGTAACTTGGGCTCATCATGCTATACTCGCGGGGAAGGAAAAACGAGCAGTTTACGCTTTAGTAGCTACCGTTTCACTGGCTCTAGTATTCACAGGCTTTCAAGGAATGGAATATTATCAAGCACCCTTCACTATTTCGGATAGTATTTATGGTTCTACCTTTTTCTTAGCAACTGGCTTTCATGGTTTTCATGTGATTATAGGTACTATTTTCTCGATCATATGTGGTATTCGCCAATATCTTGGTCATCTGACCAAGGAGCATCACGTTGGCTTTGAAGCAGCTGCATGGTACTGGCATTTTGTAGACGTGGTTCGGTTATTCCTATTTGTCTCTATCTATTGGTGGGGAGGTATATGAAGGAAGGAATCAGTGGATTGAGGAATGAAAGCTCGAAGACAAAGAGAACCGGGCTTTTCCAAAGAATTACTGCAGCTTTCCCACTCCCTTTGATTATCATATACAAAAAGGTCTCTTCCACTTTCCTACCAAATCTCTCTCTATTCTGGCACATAAATGAAGGGATCGAAGAGATTATGGCAGATCATGTTCACCAAGAAATGACCCGAAATTGGATCTTGGTCTATTTGAGATTGTTCCTTTTAATCGTAATCAAAGATGTTTTCTTGTCTCTCGTTTCTTTTCTGAAAAAAAAAAAGAACCTAATGGATCGAACTCATATGCTGTACCTGGTCGTTTAAATCAGATCTCTATTTCGGTACAACGAGAAGGGGTTTACTATGGTCAGTGCAGTGAGGGTACTTGTAAATCACTAGGTAGCCATACAACACTCGTCCCAAGTTTGACTTAGCCCAAGCAATGCCCAAAGACTCCCATTTCTTTCTTTCTTGGTCAACAACCAAGCACATTTCCAACAAGTCTCTCTTCTTTTTTTTTTTTGGGGGGGGGGGGGCAGACAAATAAAATGGAATCTTACTATTTATGAAAAACAATTCATTTCTACTCACCCCCAGCGATCTTCACTTTATGCAAAGTTCCACTTCTTCCTTCCCTTCCATTAGATAATCAAGCTCAGTTTCCATCTTCTTTTTCTTAAAGAATAGGAGCGAGACTTTCATAGTGAAGGGAGAGGCGAAGCCTAGTAACACAGCATCATGGTTTAGCCTAGCCCTGACAAGCAGTTCACCGCTTTCACATGGCAGAACCCATCACAGCACAGGGAGTCTGGCGCCCCTATACACTCATATCTCGACTTGACAACCAAAATTGCGGAAAATGGAAATTTATAGATCGATGGCGGGGATGAGCCCATGTGTACGCCTAACCTTCGGCCACCCCTCAATGGCACTAATAAGCACACAAGACACATAGGTATAGGGATGCCTGTTTTACTAGGCGCGATAGAATACTCAACCAAGCATTCAGCTCGATGGATTACTCCCGCACCAGATAGTTCTCAGCCGCAAGGTTGCCGGCATGCCCCAATGAGAAGGTACTCTCAAATCGAATATCTCGTGGCACCACATCTTTAGACAAAGGGCAGGTTTAGCTATAGCCCAGTCAACTGTTGGAGGCAAAGACAAAGAAAAAACGGAAAAGCCGAGCACACTGCATCTCCAGTGAACCATCCTACTAAGGTTTCACGAAGTCAACACATACGTTCACAGCTAGGGACCATGTTCAGTCCATGCCAATAAAAAACAACAGGAGCTCGCGGTCTATCAGCACTTGAAGGGCTACACAATGGAGATCGGATCGGCCTCGTATGGAGCGCTTTTTGGCTCCCCGAAGACCTTCCACGTGACCGGCAAGCTCTTATTCCAATTTCTATAGGACCTAGCTACAACTCTTTATCTGTTGTCCGTTCCTCTCGCTCAAACAAGGTTTCACGGAGTCGAGTTCAAGTAGCATCTTTATATGTATCGGATCATTTGTGGATTGAAACTCTCTTTTCTTTCAGCTTTCCCTTTCCATTGGACCAGGTCAAGGCTGCTGTAAGCAGTTCTGATCTCAAGCACCTATCACGGTTTTCGAGTAGCTCTGATCCACCGGAGCAGTTACAATTGCTTCAGCTGGAGCTGCGACAATTGCTTCAGCTGGAGCTGCGACAATTGCTTTACTTTAGCGGGCGACAAGCGTAGCTGTTCTGAAGTTATAGTTAGAAAGAGGGGTTGGTAATCTAATCCCTCTTAGTGGTCTTATAGTAGAGTGAGTGATCCTCGGGTAGTCATCTATGAGTTGAAGCAGGAACAAAGAATCAATATAAGGTGAAAGAACCTTCTTTCATTTGAATTTCCTGTTTAACTAGTCAGCCTCTAACTTAACTCTTGAATCTGCGGGCTTGGAAACCTACTTTCTGAAGCGGGCCCTACCACGTATACAGTCTGCGGAACCACGCCTAGCTGCGGTGTCAAGCTCATATCCTCTGCCTCTTTCTTGAAAAGAAACTATGCCTGATAAGGCGAATAAAGACTCATCTTCTTTCATATCATATGTGTCAGAAGCATCAAATGATGTTTTATGAGGTGGGGGAATCCTAATCCAATGCCCTAAGCTCGCGGTGACAGAATGCTGTTATGTCCCTGGAGAGTGCTCCCCCAGGAGTTATGTGCCCGGAGTTCTGTCCCTAGCCCTTTCACCTTCCACGGAACCAGAAGCATGAAAGATGGGATCTAGCATTTTCGAAGAAAGTCTTTCTCTTTATTGATGTCGAACTTCATCTGCCTTATAGCGATGAAAAGATATTCCCTTAGTCTTTGCCCAGCTCTTCTTCCAGGGAAACAGTCTTTGATAGCGCTCTTGCCCGACTTTTCGTGATTTGTGGCCTTAAGAGAATCAGGAGATATTAAATAGTTTGGGTCGAGCATCTAATCTTATTAAGAGTTGTCCTTTCAGACCCTATTCTCCGAATGGACAAAGAGCAGGAAGTAAAGCACCCGCCTCTAGGAGGGAAGGGGTTAGAGTGTGCCTGATTCATATGCAGTTTCCTCTCTGAAAGATGCCCAATCAAGAAGGATGTGCCACCATGCCCGATGGGCAAGAAGCTAGGGCAGTTAAGGAGGGTTATATTGGGTGATCGTATCCGAACTTGAAAGACTTTCCGCGGAATCAGAATCAGATTGGATTGAAGGTAAGGACGGCGAAGCTGGAATTCTATGGTTTCGATTCTTCCTAAGTGATTAGGTCACTCCTCTTCTCTCCGATTGGGGAAGTCTCCAATTCCCTTACTTCGATTTCCAATGACTCAGTATAATGCTCATTTGACTGTCGCGTAGGTAAAGTGTTTACTGGTCCGCCGGGTGAGACCTCTTGTACTCCTTCTTTCGCTGATTAAGAGCCGGATGAGAATCCTCTCAAATCCTCGAATGAGAACTTCCCTTAAGGAAGGAATGAATCTAGGGAAGAAGTCGCAAGGATAGTTCCATTTCTCCGCTAGCCGGGGACATGACTTCCAGCTGATAAACCTGCTCTTGCTCCATTCGCTGAATCTGGAGATTTATACTTGTTAGAAACTGTATTCTTACTCTTCTTTGTATTTCCGGGGGTCTTTCGCAAACTAAGGCAAATAAAGAGTCTTATTCTCCCTTTCAGTCAGCCGGAAGTAAGAAGATTGCTGCTCTAGCCCTAGCTGCTCTACGCGGATACGATCTTTCCTTACTGAACAGCTTCCCCAGATCATGTTACAATTAGAGTTGCGGAGATAGAGAAGGCTCATTCTCCTTTAATAGCAAAGGCCTTTTCACGAGCTGGGCTCGAACCTGCGCTTCCCTGTCTAGGAGTGCATTCCGGAAATATAGTTGGAGATGAGTCTGTCGACCAGTGCTTGAACTAAAATTGTTTCAAAAGAGAAAGGGAATGAGTCTGAAAAGACAGGTCGAGAAGGGTTGCGAGCTCAAACGAATAGAGTTCAAGCCGAAAGTGTTTCAAAATAGAAAGAGAAAGGCTGGAACGAAGTAGCTCGCCTAAAAGGAGGGGAACGAAGCACTCGGCTGAGATTGTTGGAAAAGAGAGGCAGGGCCCGAGGCACTTGCTAACGAGCAGGCGGGACAAGACTGACTTGAAAAGACGCTCTACTTGAAAGGCAATGGCTTTGAGGGTACTAACTGTGATATATGGGTAAGGAAAAAAAAGAGTAGCTCAGGCTCTCGAGGCATACTAGCGGGGCTTGACTAGAATCGTAGAAAGAAGCTGGGGAGAAAGATCCAAGTGCAAGCATTGAGTCAAACTGATTCAGGTATAGCAAGATAGTTCTTGTCTCCTTCTTCTACCTACTTTCCTTTATAGCACTTCTAGCCTTGAAAAGATAATCTTTCTTAGTTGTCCACTACCTCACTCTTTTTTTTTCCTATCTCAAGGGAGTTCAGTTCCCCGAGGATGAACAAGCAAGACTACAAGGCTACTTCCCCGCCTATAAATGTCGCATCATAGTATGCTTGCCGCAGCATAAGATGCCTATCGCATGATAAGATGGATGGCGGAAGCCCATACGTACCAATTCGTCTCTTTAAAAGATGCGGGTCTATGAGACTGTATGGCGACGGTATGGTGTAATTGCGGGTATGGCCTGGTGGCAGGCGTTAAGGATACCCGGTGCTAGGGTATTGATGCAAGGATGCAAAAATGACTCCATGTGTTTTTTTATTAACATAATATTCTACATTACAAATATATCCTAACACCCGGGATGGTGCTACCCTTCTTCCCTATCCGGAAACTAATCCAATGAAAGCGCAGAAAAGCCCAGAGACTGTACTGAGCCATTCGGTGACTTTCGCGGTCGCCCTCACTAAACCAACTTGAATCTGAACTACTATTTGCGCTCACCTCACCGGAACCTAAATTTGTATTCACCTCTGCTACATCACCTGAACCACTAGTAGTAGTACGATACTTATGGTTCTGAAAGATCCAAGCCCTTCCAAAACCGTATTAGTACATATTTTACCTCCTCCCGCATAGGCGCATCGTCGTAGAGGCGGTCAACCCATTTTTTATTTAGACTATCAATCATGTCGTTATCTCTCTTGATCATGGTAAAAATTTGAACCCTTTAACGAGTCGAGTAGAAATCAAACCTGGGATATCGAATCCCTGGTATTTTACATTAAAGTTTACCAGCGATAGGTAGCACACCCAGTTCGCGGGTCTCTCAACCCGGCGGACCCATCGTTTATACACCTGCTATGAGAGGTAATCGTGCCGCCCAGGACTCGAATACATGCAGCAGGTGAACGGCATAAACGGGATTTCTCAATGATGCCTTCACCCCGACCGGAGTCCCTTAGATATGATGCAAAAGGGCTCTTGGTCTATCCTTGATCAGAGATTTCTCTATGAAAAATATGAATCGAAGTTTGAAGAAGGGGAGGGAGAAGGAGCCCTTGACCCGCAGGAGGATTTATTCAATCACATAGTTTGGGCTCCTAGAATATGGCGCCCTTGGGGCTTTCTATTTGATTGTATCGAAAGGCCCAATGAATTGGGATTTCCCTATTGGTCCAGGTCATTTCGGGGCAAGCGGATCCTTTATGATGAAAAGGATGAGCTTCAAGAGACTGATTCGGGGTTCTTGCAGAGTGGAACCATGCAGTACCAGACACGAGATAGATCTTCCAAAGAACAAGGCCTTTTTCGAATAAGCCAATTCATTTTGGACCCTGCAGATCCACTCTTTTTCCTATTCAAAGATCAGCCCCCTGGCTCTGTGTTTTCACATCGAGAATTATTTGCAGATGAAGAG